CCGCCATCACTTACTCACAGTACTGAAAATCGATTCCGATCAATGAATCAAACAAAACGGCATACGGTGCGTGGGATGCAAATGTAAGATTTACATTTGGGGGCGTGGTCTCTGACACTTCCGTGGTTCGCTCACTTAAGTCACTTGCTATCCTGTGACAGGATGAGTGAATGAAAGTGTGGACGGTTGTCTCTATATGTGCCCTCTGTGATTGACTGGCAAACAGTCCGGGGTGTATAGTCTTCCTTTCGCTGGCTTATAGACTACAGCTCCCCGCCAACCCGAACAGGATCTTGGATGGATGGGTTTAAGGCATGTGCTTTTTTTGTGCACGTTAAATGCTGCTGAGGCTGTAACACTGTAACACATTTCGATGAGCGATGCCCTGCATATGTTTCTAATAGAGACTTTGGGGATTTGTTTGGCTCACATCTTTGCGTACCGTTGTAGAAAAAAAAAAGTGTCAACCATCATGTGCAAGACTCAAGATCGAGGTCTTCAGTTAGCATAACATGTTTTGGGAATGTGAGAAGAAGCCCTTCGAACAGAAGATAAGGAATATTTCCCACCTGCGCAAATGAGGACCGCCCCGCTCCATATTTCATTCCCAAAGCTTAAATGTTATGATAGCAGTCATTTCCTGGACTGGGGTTTCATTTTGGGACTCCCTTTTCAGGGCTAAAACTTACTAGCAGTCTGTCACCTTTTCAGCACCTCTCTCTGGCTGTTGTAAAGGTGTGGGTGGCCACCGCTGGACCCTGAAGTGGTCACAGGGACGCTGGGCTATGAAATTACATGAGGCTGCCGGCCGAAGGTCCATGCGGTCGTCCCTTAATGAAAATTGTTTCACAGTGCGAGCTGCTCAGAGCAGCGAAGACAATCTGTTTGACAAGCGGGCTTTAATATGCAAAGGTTGAGTAAAGGGACACCCAGAGTAATTGCCTGGCATTTTGAATGTTCATTTCGAGTACCGCGCCACTATTCGTGCATAGACTTTAGACAAATGTTCTGATGGACTACGAGAACATGTGGGAAAAGAGTAGGTGTTTGGTATTCACACTCACCCGGTGAAAGAGTATCGGCCAATCACAAAATGAGACCCCAAGCAAACATAAACCACATACACATTTCTCAGAGTCAGCCTTAAACTTGCACCTAGAAACAAGGAAATGTCAAAGCACACTTTCAAATCCTTCGTACTGATATCAACCGTGGGGACATCATGTTTGTTTTTAAGCACAAAAAAATAGTTTTCATACTTTTGCTTGTTCATTTGAAGCCTTCCCAACATTTAACTCACTGCAAAGTTGTAGAGTAGAACCTCTAAATTTAAAAAAAAAAAAAAAAAAAATCCTAAACGTTGCGCAATTTGAAACCAACATTTTGCAGAGAGAATATGTCACGCGAGTAATTGACTGTGAAATGGTCATCATAAATGCTTAAAAAAAAAGCAACTCATGCAAATCGATGCCGGGTTTGAGGGCTTCTCTCACCAGACTTCAGGTTTAAGCTCCTTCGACAGATATTTTTAAATGGTTTGGACCAGGGCTCAAAGTAGCAGTGGTTTGAAGGTTTAGAATTGCCGCAACATTTATGCTCATTTCTGTTCGCCCCTCTGCGACGTTTCAGATTGTATGCTAGCATTGAGCTCATGCACGTTCGTGAGAGGAATTTAGATGTACTTTAGTAAATGTACACTGTGTAATTCTCTTCTACGTACAAAGACAAATTAAAGACTATTGTCTTATTGGAGTAGGATTAAACACCAGACTAGTCATTGCCATATCAGTGCGGCGAACACTTCAGTTCACACCGATAATTTGACAGTATACTGGTTTCGAGTGGGAGAGTGAGCCAGAAACAACACCTTGATACTTGGAAGTTTTATGCTTAGTTTGATGTGCACAGAGCGCATGGACACACCGACGCTAGAATGTAACAGGCGCTCCAACGAATACAATATAAATGTAAGCCGGGCTTTCTACAATTGACAGCCATAAAATATGACTGGGGCAAGGCTTTCTGGGCCATTGCATTTGCGCACTGTGTGTATGTGCGTGTGCGTGTTAGGATAACACGCACACGCACATCCTCCTAGCCAAAACAAGTATATATCTGGGACCACAGTGCAGACAGGCAGCGTTACGTTCACCCATGGGTCAGGAACTCAAAGTTGTGCGGCCGCCCACCTTTGCATAACCATATGATGGGGCTACATCCATATCACCTCTTCGGTGGTATCCCGGGTGTGAAAATGCATGATTTTGGTTCACTGTTCCTTTCCCAAATTATGTTTGGGGTGTGGCTGACTTTAACCTTTGTGTCAGAAACTTCCCGTCTTGAGAAACAAACCAAAAAAAAAAAAAAAAAAAAAAAAAAAAGGGGGAAGGGGGAGGGGGGGTAATAATTTTTCTGTTCCATTAATGTTTTGGTACAAT